AGTGCAAAGGACGTTTCCTACAAAGTGAGATTCTTCAGGGGTGGGGGCTGTTCACAGTTAACATTTCTGAAATCCTTTGTAAACTTGATGTACAGTTTTGTAAATAACAGCTTTGTATTTCATTGTGTGTGTGTTTTTAGACAAGTTATTGTTGCTTTGGTATCCAAGGCGTGAGGCATCAGGGTGTGAGCTCCTGGGCCCTTGTTTTAATGAACGTACTCATTGTTATTGTCCTCTATGAATTATTAACACCCTTTTACTGTAGTGTGACCAAAACTCAGAAGCACCAAGGTGGAGAACCAGAATCCTCTCTGCAGATAGGCAGGTGTCCAGCAGCGGCACCCCAGGGCCAGGAGCATAACGAGTTATTTGTTGTTTACAGCAAGGGGGACGGTAAGACTCTGCTTTAAAAGAGCTGCACTTTCACATGCCCACAGCTGTACCAAACTGACAGGGTAGTTTTGTTAGCGAGCAAGTGAAGGATTGTACTTGGAACTTCTCCCTGAACCGCCGAATCTCAGCCTACTCAAACACGGTCAGTGTGTCTCGTGGGATATCTCCCTCATTCCCCTCACAAGTCCCTAGCTTACCATTTCCCTAAGTCTGACCCTGGGAGCTTTGACTCTTGGAAACTCACACCCTGACCATTGTGTTGGTTTCTGAGGTGCCGTGGGACTTGCTCCCCAGCTATCTACCGTGGCCCATCCTACACTATTAAGGGCCACAGTCGATGGGGTGGTCTCTAGGCTAATGGTCTTCTGTCCTTTCACACACTAGAAGAAGAAGAAGAAGAGATTGGATTTATACCCCGCCCTTCACTACCCAAGGGAGTCTCAAAGCAGCTTACAAACTCCTTTCCCTTCCCCTCCCCACAACAGACACCCTGTGAGGTAGGTGGGGCTGAGAGAGCTCTGACAGAAACTGCTCTTTTTCAAGAACAGCTCTTATCAGAACTATGGCTTGCCCAAGGTCATCTAACCAGGTGCAAGTGGAGGAGTGGGGAATCAAACCTGGTTCTCCCAGATTAGAGTCCGCGCACTTAACCACTACACCAAACCGGCTAGGGAATACACTAGGGAATTGTACTTATTCCAATAGCATGGATTTTGCTAAGCTGCAAGCATAAACTAGTATTTCCAGTTTCTACTAGTTCCTATTACTGATCAAATATCCTGAATAGGAATTCGACATAGTATGTTTGCTATATAACCTCAGTGCAGATTCATTGCAGCCTAGTAGATTACCTGTTTCCCTAAGGTGACACAGGATAACTGCTCTGTTCCTGCCTCTTCACCAGCCCCAGAGCCCTATGTACCTCTCCTATAGATAACAGTTCTTTTCCGTCATGGGGCAAAGTCTAACTGTCCTCCTGGCAGACTTCCCCAGTTTCTCACTTGTTTCCTCAAGCCCCATTTGAAGCAAAGACAGACTTTCCTTCCACTTAATTCCACCCAGGCATGTGAGGCAGATCCTACCTGGCAGTAGGCAATAGGGGAGGCTCCAGTCTTTCTAGCACCGTGCTTTCAAAAGTAAGAACCAGCACTTTGAATTGTGACTAGAAACATCTGGGCAGCCAGTGTAGGTGTTTCAGCACTGCAGTTTCACAATGCTCACGTCCCCAGGCTTCTGTTACGAAGTGTAAGAGGAAAGCGACACCCTCTCTTCCGCCTGTGTCTGTGGCTCCTACCTTGACCATAGGGTCACCTTTGCATTTCACAGCCATCCCTGTGTCCACATGCGCTCTCAGTGGGGTGAGCTCGGTACTTGCAGGTCCCCGGGCCCTCTGGAGGAAGAGAATATGGACCCACAGTCACTGTATTCACAGAGACATTCGAGGGGAGTGTTATCCAAATTGTCTTATTTATTAATAAATTTGGGGAATTGTGAATGTTAAATGGCAATAGGCATTAAATATAGGACCATAACCCATGTGTACGGGAGTCAGAGTTCCCAGGACCCAGGAATAGATGCAGAGGCTGTATTGTTAAAGCAATGATTTCTCTACTGAAGGTTTTCCAAGCATACAAACATAAAATAAAGCATTCACTCATACGATACAGGGCTAAGAATTCCGAGTAGAAAATACAGAGATGTTTGCATTAGCAGGAAGTGTCGTCGGTTGGGTGATACGTTACCTGCCCCGCAAGACAAGTTGATACTGCAGTGCAAAAGGGATAAAATAAGGGAAGGGGGCCGTGAGTTGACCAGCGACACACGTGGAAAGGTGCCAAACTGTGCAGGAATGGAACCAGCAAGATAGGGGATAGGAGAGGCAAAAGTAAGAGAGCAAACCCAGAAAGGGCTCTCCTTATATACCTAAAATGTGACCTGAGGCTAACACTGGTCCCCTGGAGATATTAACAAAACGTAAACTATGAATGAGGCAGAAAAGGGATTAATGGTTGGGCAATTGTAAACTTAATGGTCGGCCAGGAATGACCCCTCTGGGGGAAGGGGGTGAAACAAAGGAGAGAAAGAAGAGCACCAATCACGTTGCAGGGCCGGTGCTGTGGATTAACCACCAGGTGTTTGAGAGCAGCGTTATCTCGATGGGTAGCAGGAAGACTTGATGGCTTGCCATGGTTTGTCGTTGGGCACACCGTTTTGCCTTAGGCTGCCTCAGGAGAGGAATCTGTTCCACGAAGGTGTGTGTGGGGGGATGCCTGCATGATGGAGAAGGGAGTTTCTCATGGCTGCTTCTGTGCAGGAACCTCTTATCCTTTTTGCAGGGCACGGCTTCCTTCTGTGATCTGCTGCTGTGTTTGCGTGTATGGAGGTCAGTGCTGCTGGTCTGCATCCTGGTGTCCCGGGGGGGTCCACATCTGGCTTGGCATGCTTCTTAGGCACAAGGCTCCCCTTGGCCGCAGTGCGTCCCGTGGTCCAGGATATGGCACTGCTTTTGGGAACACCGCTCTGTCCATTGCCCTGACACACTCTTTCCACCGTTCAGCAAAGCAGTCATATTTAAGAGTCTTTAGTAATGCCATCTGAAGTGGCTGCATGGCAACAGGAGGGGGGGGGGCGCTTCGTTTTGTGTGATTTCCGGCCTAGAGAATTTGCCTGATGCAGCGGCCCGTTCTCTGACTGAGAAGTGCTGGCAGGACTGGAGCTTCCTGGATTCCAGTTGCCCCTTCGTTTTGGCAGAGCACAGGGGGCTCAGTGGTGGTTGCTACGTGGCCCTCGAGCCCCGGCTTTCTCCTTCCTCTCTGGGGACGGTTGGAATGGGCCTGGCCTTGGGGGAGCTCTCTGCCGGCAGAGGCCTCTTCCATAGGTGCCGGCTGAGATGCACAGCACTGCTAAGCCTGGCAGCCAGAGGGAAGCAGGCAGGCAGGCTAGCAGCAAAAGGGTGAGTTTTAGAGCACCAGCCTGCAGCAGGTTTCTTTCTGCCCGCCAACAAGTGCCCACTGGTGGTGTTCAGGAGCCCAACTCCCTCCTTTGACGGGGCAGGGAGGCTCCTGCTTTGGAGGGAAGGGGGTCTGGCAGCTGGGGGGGCGAGCCGGGCGCTGGCTCTGTGGAGTGGTGCTGCAGCACTTGCTGGACTCTGATCCAGCCTGCCCAGCAAGGTTGCCAATATCCAGGCGGGGCCTGGAGATCTCCTGGAATTGCAACTAACCTCCAGACTATGGTGATCAGTCCCTCTGGAGAAAGTGGCAGGCTTGGAAGGTGGATGCTTCGGCTTTCGGTCCCCCCCGCCCCGTCCTGCTTTCACCAGGCTCCACCTGGAGCTGGCAACCTTACACTGCGATGAAGGGCTGCTGGGCCCTGCTTGCCTCCTGGGCAAGCTCAGTGTCCCTGTCTGCCCCTTGGTGTTTGGAGGGGTGGAGGAAGAGACTGTCCGGTGCCCCCGCCCCTTTCAAAATGCCCGGCTCAGTATATTAACGGGGGGCGGGGGGGAGCAGCACTTTTGGAAGGTTCACAACTTCCGAGTGGTGTGTGTGGGGGGGGCAGAGCATAGCTCCCCGGTGGCCAGAGCTGTTTGGACCGGTCAGCCTCCTCGGAGTAGGAGAGGGTAAAGGACTTCTGCATGTGTAACGCCTCCCTCCTTCCCCGTCCAGGGGGACCAGGCCCACAGCGCTTCCCTGGTGCCTGCGTTCCTGCAGATGTGTCTGTGGCCGTTTCTGCACATTCCTCTTAATCCGTGTTCCCTGCAGTGTCCTCCAAGCAACTCTGCACTAAAATCGCCTTCAACTTTCTTGTTAATCCGGGGGGGGGGCAGTCCGATCTTGAAGTGCCGCCCTTGGGGCTCCCTTGCAGTCTCGGCTGGGCTTTGAGGGGCTTGTGTCGGCTCCTGGAGGGGTGTGTGTGTGTGTCCAGCTACAAAGTGGGCCTGCCGGCAGAGTGTGCTGTGGCATCAGCCATCCAGCAGCCCCCCACCTCTGTTCGCCAGAAGCTCTTGATGGGCAGTTCGGCCCTCGTGTTTTGTTCCCCCGGTGACTGGTCCTTCCTGCAGTTCGTGAGCGGGACTAGGGCTGTGAATGCACTCGCCACCCCCTGAGCCAAATCCCCAGGATTCTTTGGGAGAGAGCCATGACACTAAACTTCTGTACAGCAGGTGTAAATCAGCAGTATGTTTATTTTTAAGTTCTGTACAGCCTTGAAAACCTGTTGAATTGTCTGTTGGAGCCGAATCTGCCAATAATGTGTCAGAGGTGATAAAAATGAATTTTCATGCATTGAAAATGATTCTAGTTTAACCCCACCCCACCCCCCAAGTTAAACTGTACCATCTAGTGACAAGAAACACACTTTCAACTTAAAACTATTGTGGTCAATAGTTACTTGTTATGGAAAGAATACATCTTAACAGTATGGACATTGGTGTTGAATCGCCCCCCCCCCCCTTACAGCATTTACACAGCCTGCAAACCATAGTGCTCTTCTGAGCGTTACTGTGACTGAAAAACCATCCCATAAAACCATATAATAACTTGAGCATAAT